ATGCTTGTGGTGTTCATTTCCGATGTGGGACTCGTGGGAGGGCCCTGTGAGGTTGACACGAGTCCTTAGATATTTCGGGCGGGTGCTTCAAGGCTGATTATGTACAATCGGTATGGGGTGCCGATTGTAGACGAGCTGGGCCTGTATCGGTTGTTTGCAGCTTTGAGACAATGTCATCGGTAGCCGATGCCGATTGTTCGAGGCCTTGGGTACTTGGGTGAGCTTCTCTGATCCACGTGTCGTTGTATGAGTTGTAGCTAAATCTTGAATAGATAGAGATGAGTGCAACTTACAAGTGGGATGGACGATCAAGAGATCGATTGGGTGTTGGATGCCGATTCTTCCTGTCCTTGGATGCTGATCCTGAATAGAAGATAAGCGAAGCTCGTGAGGTCTATGGAACCGGTGTGGAACCAGCCTAAGACCCTCCGATGCCGAAGTAAGTTTGTTGTTTTAAGAGCTCTTGCTGTTGACCATATAGAAGTATAAAAGTCAAGCTGAAAAGTCTTACCCCTGTATTGTAGTGGGAGGGGCATACTTATAGAGGGCATTTAGTATGCTTGTGGTGTTCATTTCCGATGTGGGACTCGTGGGAGGGCCCTGTGAGGTTGACACGAGTCCTTAGATATTTCGGGCGGGTGCTTCAAGGCTGATTATGTACAATCGGTATGGGGTGCCGATTGTAGACGAGCTGGGCCTGTATCGGTTGTTTGCAGCTTTGAGACAATGTCATCGGTAGCCGATGCCGATTGTTCGAGGCCTTGGGTACTTGGGTGAGCTTCTCTGATCCACGTGTCGTTGTATGAGTTGTAGCTAAATCTTGAATAGATAGAGATGAGTGCAACTTACAAGTGGGATGGACGATCAAGAGATCGATTGGGTGTTGGATGCCGATTCTTCCTGTCCTTGGATGCTGATCCTGAATAGAAGATAAGCGAAGCTCGTGAGGTCTATGGAACCGGTGTGGAACCAGCCTAAGACCCTCCGATGCTGAAGTAAGTTTGTTGTTCTAAGAGCTCTTGCTGTTGACCATATAGAAGTATAAAAGTCAAGCTGAAAAGTCTTACCCCTGTATTGTAGTGGGAGGGGCATACTTATAGAGGGCATTTAGTATGCTCTTAGCGCTCATTTTCGATGTGGGACTCGTGGGAGGGCCCTATGAGGTTGACACGAGTCCTTAGATATTTCAGGCGGGTGCTTCGAGGTTGATTCTGCAGAATCGGTAGGGGATACCGATTGTAGGCTGTGTTGGGCCCTGTAATGATCTTTTGCTGCTTTGAGACAATATCATCAGTAGCCTATGCCGATTGTCCGAGGCCTTGGGTGCTTGGGCGAGTTTATGAGATCCACGTGTCGTTGTACGAGTGGAGGGTCAGATATGGTACAAACAAAACTGATAGTTATATACAGTCTGGTTTTTATACAAAATGTCTATAGGAACTAAATCAAACCATACCTATACGGTTCCAGTTCGGTTTGGTCGGTTTGGGGTTTGGAATAAGAGCAAAATAAGAAGAGGTGAAGAAGAGAGAAATAGGTGAATAGATAAAGAGGAAGAGAGAGGGAAAGAGAGAGGTGAAAAAAAGAGAAATACGTAAGCACAACAAGAAGAACGACTATGGTTCACCAAAATGAAAAAGAAGTAGGACTAGAGTTGTTATTTAGTTGGGTATAAATTAGGATTAAGTCATTTGGGTATTAATTGGGCTAAATATCTAGATATTACTTGGGGTTACTAATGTAATTTCAATATTAGTGGGGCTTAACGATTTTTTTGTTTTGTTTTGTTTTGTTTTTGCCATAGTCAGGAAGGTAAAGGGGGTTTTTCTCACAATTACACTACTAAGGTGTCACGAGGGTTCAACTTTGAGATCATTGGTGTACAAATCAAAGTCTTTTTCTATGGGACTATACCCTGTTGGCATATGCTCCTCAACGATTGATTATCCAAGATATCAATTTCCTTCTTCAAGATTTCTGAATGGTCAAAATTGCCCATAAGTTTTGAGAAACAAATATGGTTGGAAAGCTCTGTAGCAAATTTAGATATAATCTTCCTAATATTTGTATTTGGTTTGGTTATTTTCCTTAGTGTTTAGGAAGCTTTTTTTTGTTTATAACAGCAATTATACTAAAGAAGAAGTAGAAGGGTTAAACAGTATAGCCGTGCGGCTATACCCTTTGAATATATTCGAATATTTTAATAGTATAGCCGATCGGCTGTACGTCTGAAATAAATTATTATATTTAAAGAGTATTATATTGCAGTCTGTTTTAAAAAAAATCTGTTTAGCCTTGTAAAATCTTCTTTGTACTTAAAAAAAGTAGTAGAAGATAATTGCATTTTTTGTTGTTGGTAAACTTGTAAGATTTGGATTTTTAGCTCATTATGGTTTGTATTGAGATCATTAGGCTTCCTTTGTTTTATGATTTATTTATTTTTTGTCCTTTTTGTTGTTGCAAATTTGCAGTGATCGTAATTTTTGTTTGTAAAGGTTTAGAGGGTTAAGATTTCAGCACATTATTATGGCTTGAAGTTTGATAAGCCCTGTAATTTGCATTAGTGTTTTCATTTCATATTTCATTTGGGTTCTTTAAGTTGTATTTATTTATTTTGGTCCGAACTGAAATTTATTATTTTTATTTTTATTTTTATTAACGGAGAGGGAGAATTCGAACTTGTGACATCTAACAATAGCTAGTCGATTGAACTTTCGGATAATTGGGAGAAGAAGATATATGCATAAAGCAAGCAGCCTTGAACTTGAAGAGAGAAGTCTCTTATTCATATTTTGTAATTTAGTATTTCCTAACAGAAGAGGTTAAACAAAAATATCAAATTTCAATTTTAAAGCAGGAACAAGCAAGCAATTGCTCCCGTGGCCCATGGGCCTCTAACATATACAGTGATACAATCACCTCCACGGCCCAAAAGAAGAGAGAGAGAGAGAGAGAGAGAGGGAAAAAGAGCAAAACAAAAAAACAGCAAATTGCCAATGAGGCCCACTGTTTGATCTCTTCTTCTGATCTACTCTTATCTGATCTCTCTCTCTCTCTATCTATGCCTGCGATCCCGATGATCCCTGGTGCTGCCTCTGGAGTGCCTGGGCTCTTCCTGCTCTGCCTTCTGCGGCGGCGACGCCTCGTACCTCGACGGCTTCCTCTTGAAGTGCCTGTCGTCGTCGCTCGACTCATACTCCATAGAAGCAGCAGCGCTAACCATAGCCTTTCTACTTCCACTTCCGCCACTCCCAGCCTTGGCAGTCGACGACGACGTCGTTTTATACTCGTCGTACGCCGATCCATTTGCCAACGACGAAGACGACTCCTTGTGATGATGTGCCGACGACGTCTTGTTATCCTCCGTCGCCGAAGGAGAAGCCGCGCGAGCCCGCTTCTTGCTCACTTCCCCCTCCGGAAAGCTTATGCGAGAAAACACGCTTGCCTTGTGCTTGCGCTCCGCCGCCGCCGCCGCTGCGGCAGCTGCTGCAGCTGATGCCGTAGAGGAGGAGGAGGCAGGTTTGGCCGATGCTGTTGTTGTTTCAGTGGAAGGTGGTGGTTTTGCAGAGGACGAATCAGAACGATGTCGTTTCTGACGCTGCTGCTGGTCATCCTCGTGGTGGTCGTGGTAATCGTCATAGTCTCGACCTCGATCTCGGTCTTGGGCGCGTTCGCGATCTCTGTCGTGGTGGTCTGATTTTCTCTTGGGAGGACGCGGTGGCTGTGGCTCCAGGTCACGTGGGTCACGTGAGGGCCTTCGTTCTGGAGATGACCTCTCGCGTCTGTGACGATGCTGGTGGCTGTTGCTGTAGTCTGGACTTGGTGATCGAGCAATTGACTTCTGCAATGCATAACAAGAAGAAAAACATAATAAGTCAACTTTTCCCGCAGTAATAATTCTCACAAAAATCATTTACTTTTCACTGTTACCCATTATTTTCTCTCTTTTTTCTTTTTTGCTAAGTGCTTTTACGTTTATTTTTTACGCCTTTGCGAAACTAACACCCGCTTTTCTTAAACACCTTTGTTCCCCTTTTTTTTCTTTTTGGTTTCGGTTTTCAAATTTTAGGAAAACAAAAAACTTCGTTAACACTTGGATTTTTTGCCGTTCGCTTTACAGCCTGCGATCCCATTAATTACTAATATCCAACTTTGCAGCCAGAACTCAGAAAGGAAGTAGAAATGGTTAACCAAAAATAATAAAATAAAATATAAAACCATTGTTAAAAACACTCATCCTGTGCAAAGTGCAGAAATTCAATTCTGAACCCGCAGCAAGCACTTGAGGATCATAATAAAAATATTTGTATCTCGGACAAGTGCAAACATGATCCAAGATGACTCCTGTTGGTTTTCTTCTTATTTAAAAAATAAATTCAATTTAGAGACGTTAAAAAAAAATAGAGAAGCAGGTGATTAAATTTTGAGCCCTGGCAAATATAAGTCAGAATTAATGGGATTCACACGGCTGTATACTAGGGTAATCCGAACATGTTGCTAAAGCAACAGAACAGAACTCTAATTGACCTCAGTTTTGGCCACATTTGGCCGTTTTCCATGTACTCTCGATCGATTCAAGCCACCGTGAAAAAGGGAGGGCAAACTACAATGTGTTCTCTCCATTTAATATCCCCATGACCAAATGGAGCATTACGAAGAAAAGATATAATATAATGACACAAAAATAAAATAAAGACTGAACGAACAATAATAACTGATAAGGAAAACAGACTAATATATCCTAGACTCTTTGGCATTCTCTGGCCAAATTGGTGTCCTATTGCCAACCTGGTCTCTCCTTGTAAGAGTGTTGATAAAAACCTTAAGAAAACCCTGCTGCTGCAGTATACAAATGATAAGAAGAGAGGGAAATTGGCACAATAAAGACGTACAGATTTGGATTTCATAGAAGTGCCATCGCCGCCACCGCTGCTCACTTCCCTTCCGAATTCCCGATCTTTAGAGAACTCCCTGCTGAAATATAAAATTAAAAAAATGAATTACTCAACCATGTAAAAATAGATACTACAGCTTGGGAGGAAAAGCAACCAATTGCCATCAGATTATAGGCAAGTTGTCCATTTCTCAGAAGAATAGTACTATTAGATCCTATTATGAGATATTGCCCATATACTAAAAACTGTGGGACACAAAAGGGCAAACAGCTTATACATAGCCCCACTACTGAAGGATTTCTCCTTTCAAATATCTCTATACTCTCCCCAAAGAGAAAAAAACAGCATCATAATTTTGTTTCACATACAGAATGATAAACAAACACAAAGACACATCAGATTCGAGAAGCTTGCATCACACTTTACTATCTCTTAGTACCAACTCAACTGACAAAAAATGAATTCCACATTTCAATCAAAATAACAGATCTCACATCTATTGTGTCCTTACAATGGAATTGCATCTAAAATGGAATCCAAACCCTTTGGTGGACCACACTAGAAAATGGCATCTAACAGAAACTGAATTTAAAAAATCTTCACATAACATGGCTATCAACTCACATATAACAGATACTCATGTTTTCCAAGTTATACCACATGCATAAAAATTCCAAGAAAAAATAAATCCAGTTTTCAGTCTTACGTTTGGCCTCGTCTCTCATTTTCACGCTTCCGCCTCAAATCAGCTTTTCGAGCCTCAAATTCCTCTCTGCTCATGACAGGGGGTCCAACATTCATGCCATTCATGCCATTCATCCCATTCATCCCATTCATGCCATTCATGCCATTCATGCCCATGCTAAAGTCAGCCAAATCCCTGAATAAAGTCCAAGATTACAAACACATTAGGTTGTGGGGCCGAAAGGAGGGAAAAAGCATTAAATTGTAACTTGCAAGCATCAAGTGACATTATCTTAGGGCACTGGTTACACCTGCAAACCTACTTTTTCCACAAAAATGACTCCAAGGGCAAAAACCATTGAATTGCATGCATAAGAGAAAGTACAAGTATCTATGGGGGGGGGAGGAGAGAGAGAAATTCAAATGAGAGAAATGTATACCTCTGAGGCGGAACCATGGGCATCATATAACCTTGAGCACCGAACGAGTCCTGTGGACCAAAACCCCCAAATGGCATGTCCAATGGGCCTAGTCCATAACCCATATATGGCATAGGACCACCATATGGTGCCATATATCCTTCCATACCCATGCCAGGTTGCATGCCATTCCAGTAAGGATTATAAGCACCGGGGCCCATAGGCATCATATAGTTATCAGCTGCAAGATCTTGTGAGGTTCTCCATTGCATGTCTGCATTGAATGTAATAATATTATGGCATCTAGAAAAGCACAAGAATTGAAGTATCCAATTCAAATTTATATGACAGATAGAAAGCTCTAAGTTCACAAAACAAAGTAGGAAGAAGAGCCATACCATTCGCAGGCATGCGAACTTTCTTCTTTTTCCTTTTCTTTCCTGTAATGCACATACAATGACAAACAAATAAGTAATCACTACAGTTCCAACATTTTTTTTGGAGTCAAACTAAGCTTTATTTTTAAGAAAAATCTTTTACTCAACATCCATCCAACTTCTGTATGTCAAGAAAGCAAGAAAACACATAGAACTTGACATGCACCATGAAAAAATGCGAAAACAGAACTAGTAGGCCAACAGAACAAGACAACTATAATTCCCAGACCACTACATTACCTGCCTCCCCAGAAGCCAGCCTTTGTTGCACTTCTTCCTCAACAAGTGGAGCACTCCCTTGCGATGCTGGTTCCTTCACACTCATTGACTCATGTGTAGCTTCAGATACATCAGCCACTTTTATAGTCCTCACTTTCTCTAAAATCTGCTGTGGGGCAACAACAGGCTTTACCTCATCTGCGGTTTCCTGTATCTTCGGGATTTCTTTATTCAAAGATAGCTGTAGTTCTTCTCCCCTTGATGCAGCAGATTGAGTTGGAGAAGGAATCTTGGGTTGTGGACAGCGTGCAGACTCCATATCTGAATATTACAAATCACAAGTTTAATACGAACAGAAAATGACTACTCTGGTGTAAATAGAAAGAGAAGGAACATTATTGAAATACAAACCTTGAACTTGGAAAGTACTCCCAGCATTGTCAGCACTACTGTTACCCCCAGATTCCAAGATTCGATTGATTGTATCCCTGAGTGTCTTATTTGGCAGTAGATCGTCTGCCAGTGTATTTGTAGCCCCACAGACACACACTGACTTGGACATAATGTAGTTCCGGATACCTGATTATAAAGGCACCCAGTGTAAATACAAAGAAAATTTATAGTTACCAAAAAGATTACAAGGCATTAAGTTGAAATTCTTAGACGCTGCAAAATTTACGCAATAATATTTACATCATAACTTACACTTATCACAAAAGCTCTTAAAGCAACACTTGCTCGTTAACACAGCATCTTTCATTACTTCCTTGCACAACGGGCAGTGTAGCTCGGGGGGTAGATCACCAACAGACCGTGTAGATGGTAAACCTTCAATCTCTCTCTCGAAAGCAGCCCTGTTTTCATATTAAAGATTATAGTAAGTTTTCATGCAAACAACTGGAAGGCAAGCATAACAACTATGAAATATAGAACACCAGATCAGCTTACTCATTTGGCCTCAAAACAGCTACTGCACCACTTGGCAATGCATATGAGCCATCTGGGGTTGCCATCAGCATGGACTTGGGAATGCCAGTGGGTGGCTTCACTCTTTTTATGTCATAAGTTGGATCACCATTTGTAGGGCAGTGCTGAATAAAATGACCTAAACAAATACAATATGTCAAATATAACTTCTATAAGTGCATTCCTGATATAATCATTTATCACAAAGAAAGAAATAAGAACAGGAACATACCAGGAACCTTACACCTGTGACAAATATAGCCCTGTGGAGGTGTTTTCCTCTCCAACCCCCCTCCTCCTCGACCTCAATCAAGAAAAGAAAAATCAGTTGTCATGTAAAATATGAGAGAGAGAGAGAGAGAGAGAGAGAGAGAGAGAGAGAGAGAGAGAGAGAGAGAGATATTGAATGAGCACTGACATATTAAGTAAAACAAAAATATGTAATTTTAAAAGACTCACCAAAACCACGTCCACCCATCATTCTTCCACCCATACCCCTGCCAAAACCTCTACCAGGACCAAAGCCATCAGGACCTTGCCTGCAAATACAACACAGAGATCATCCAACATTAGTGACCATGAATCTATCATTTATCACAGAACTAAATAATAAAACTGAAAGCATCTCACTGTTGCCAGTCCAAGGCTGGAGTGTCGATTAAAGCCTTAATCTTGCTATCTTCATCGGCTTTATTTGTTGGCTGAACATCCGGAGCCTGATAACTTGTCTGCACTGGCAAGACTTCAGGAATTTCATACAAATCACCTCCAAGATCATCCCAATCTGACTCATCAGGCTGTAACGCCAAAATAAACACACTGTCACTAAAAGCTCTGACTGATTGGACAAAGAAAGGAACAATCACGCCAGGATCTAGTAGATACTAAGGCTTACATATTTCATGGCAGATGAATCAGCTGCCAGAAAGCTAGTCCTTTCTGGTTCAGTATATTCCACCTTATCTTCCACTTTTGGCCTGCAATAAAGGAAATAAAAATAGCCTAACTCAACCAACCCTCGAAATTGGTCCTAATGGTCATAAGGAACACAAAAATCCTATTGAAGCACATAGCACTGCTTGGGCACACTCCACAGAAGTTACAATAACAGGTACTACCCATATCACAGGTTTGTTAAACACAATAACAATTGATACTGCCAACTCAAAATTCATAATGGACCTCACAAAAACATAACTAAAGAATTTAAAGGATCTGAGATAGTACTCTGAATCAGTAACAATTGGCATGCGAGGCCGTCCAGGTACGCGTCGAATTAAAACTGAAGTATTTTTTGGAATCAACATTGCTTCATCAAGATACTCTGAAATTGCAAAACATAGAACATAAAGACTATAAAAACACAGCAAAGATATTGATCCATGAAAGCAAGGATAAAAGCTACCAAAATGCGATTCCCCAAACCATAACCCATGGTTCCTAGCTAGTTAAAGTCAGATTAACCATTCCAAAAGATCCCAGATTTCAATCTCACACACCCTGTCCTGTCCCCTCTCAGATTGAGTCAATTTAACATATTGGTCAAACTTTGTTCATTCGATAACAAAACTAAACCACCACATAAGGTCAATCTAACTTAACTTTCAAGGCACATGGTGGCAATTAGTGACCCCAACGTTAATTGAAGTATGGCAATGTAACATCCTCTATATAAACAACATGTAGATAGATAGCTACAAGCATAAAAAAAAAATGACCAAATACCCAAAAATCAAAATTTGAAATCTCCAAAATCATATATGATTTTACCACTCAACACACACACACACTCATATCACCTGCTAGGACCCAAATTTGTGTTTAATTACAAATTGTTCAGAAGGGAATAACTAAATCAGAACCAACCTTCATTGGTCTGGGCGTTGGTGACCACAAGGTCGAAATCAGTACCCCTCCCTAAGTGCTTGGATTCAAATATTTTTTCTTTCAAAATACCAACTGAGATGAAAGGACCGTCCATAGCAATTGAATCATAATCTCTTGCACTCTTAAATTTATAATACACCGCCATGGTCAATACTTTTTTTTTCTTCCAAAAAAATAGAAATATGTATAATAATACCACAACAAGAACAAACAAACGCCCCGAGGAGAACGATAATCAAAGGCCAATAAAAATATAAAGGCCTTGTATTAAACTCCCAAAAACAAAAATCAAACAGTACAAAAAAATTGAAGATCTTTTCGTTTTCTTTTTTCTTCGATTAATCTATTGAGATCGAACAATCAAACCACCGCAGAAGAACAGGGAGAGAGAGCTCTTCAGAAGCTTCTTCGCCGACCATACGCCAATCTCCTCTCTTCGGTTCGATTCAATTCCTTCAATAACCGATCATTGAGCAGATGCTTCGAATCAAAATAGGTTCCGAGAGCCACCACAGATTCAATCCTCCGCCGATCGTCGCAATTCGAATCAAATTTCACAGATCTCAGTGAAATTAGAAAAAGCCCTCTGCGCTTGTCTTCGCACCGATCCTTACAAATAGCCTGAGAGAATCAGAAAACCCTAGGCTGAGGAACCGATTCTGATGAGCGAATGGATGGTACAATTGCTCCAAAGTCGCCGATTGGTTGGCCGTACGCATATAGCACCGAGGAAAAATTCACGAATTCCGAGAGCTTCTGACACGCCAAAACCGAGAAAACCCAAATCTTTCAGAGAGAAACCGCTTGAAATTTGTGAAACTGGTGATGGTTTTCAAGCACTAGGACATCTGTGTAGGCTTATAATCATTACGAACAGCCAGGCTGCTAGGGTTTGGTTCAGAGAAATTTGAGAGAGAGAGAGAGAGAGAGAGAGCTCTGAGCGTTGGGTTTTGTTTTGCTTTTTTCTAATTTCCTTTTGTTTTTGTTTTTGTTTTGTCCTTGAAATGGTTGAGGGTCGGTTTAACGACTTTCGTTTCGTTTGTGGATAATCCTTGTGGGGCCAGCCCAACAAAGACTCGTCGCACACTCAATATGCATTTTTTTTTTAACTTTAAAATTTAAACCATAAAATCTTTACCGTTGAAAAGCTTTGACTCTAAATAAAAATGTTGACCGTAGAAAAACTTTGGGCCCAAGTAAAATAGAACAGCTTCCTCCTTTTCCTGATAGGATTGAGAAAGATTTATTCCTTTTCCTTACAGGATTGAGAAAGATTTATGCTATAAATAATAGCCGGGCACCTTGTATTTTCTACCTTGAGTGAGTGAGCAAGCCAGTAGGAAATCAACTAGGTTTTGCTTCTGGGCAACCGTCAATTTTCATATTTGACGAAAGCTCTTGAGTTTCCATTAACAAAGAGAGAGTTTTGTTGGGTCTGTGTTGTTTTCTTGAGATAGTTTGAATGGAGAATTATTGGTTCCTTAAGCCGCTCGGTGAAGGAAGTTTTGGGGTTGTATGGAAGGCGTTGCACAAGGTGACCGGTGAGATTGTTGCAATTAAGCAGCTGAAGAATGAGGTGTCGAGGTTGACTTCATGGGAGGAGTTTCTCCAAATGGCTGAAGTTGAGTCTCTGTCTCAGTTGAAGAACCACCCGAATATTGTCAATTTGAAACAAGCTTTCATGGAAGTTGATGGCACAGCTTCCCTTGTCTTTGAATTCATGGAGGGCAGCTTATTTCAATTTATGCAACTGCAGAATAAGAGATTCAATGAGGCACAAATCAGGAATGTGTGTCATCAAATTCTTCTTGGGCTAGATCACATGCACAAGAATGGGTGGTGCCACCGTGACCTCAAACCGGAAAATTTGTTGGTGAAGCAAGGTGTGGTCAAGATTGGGGATTTGGGTTCTGCTAAGAAGATTCAGCCGGGCATTCCTTTCAAAGATTATGTCACAACTCGCTGGTACAGAGCCCCGGAGGTGTTGCTCGGCTCACGCTTCTACGATTCCAAGGTTGATATGTGGGCTGTGGGTGTAATCTTGGCTGAGATGTTCAACCTCCGCCCTCTACTTCCGGGTAAAAATGTGGAGGACCAGCTGTTTTGGATTTGTAGGGTGCTAGGCAGCCCAACCATGAAGTCATGGCCTGAAGGGCAAATTCTTGCAGGGCAGGTTGAGTATCAGTTTCCACAGTTTTCTGGGTCTGGTCTCTCATTTTTCATCCCATCTGCGAGTGATTCTGCAATACAGCTTATTACTTCGCTTCTTTCTTGGGATCCTGCTAAGAGGCCGACTGCTGCAGAGGCACTTAAGCATCCCTTTTTTGTCGGCTCCCACCGTATTCCACGTGCCATTCCTCGTGCCATTCCTGAAAGACATCACCATATTCTTCCTAACATTGGTGGCATTTTAGCTCAGCAAATATTATAAGTTCACTTGTATTTGAAAGATTTTTAGCTCTACTTTACACAATTAAATTGAATTTGTGAAGAGAGTTCATAATCATATGTTGTGCAAATGCTGAATATATATATATATACATTGATTCACTTTTTTTATCTTGCTATGTTATATCATTTACTGGTTCATATCTGTATCTATAGAGTTTAGCTTTCATGTAACTTCTGTGTTGATGTATTCTACAGTAGTTCTGGCCCTTGTCTTACTCTAACAACACATGATCGTTCCTAGAGAAGTATAACTTCTGAAAATGACCTTTTGGACTGCAAACTTTCTTACCCTTCTCTATCCACAGTCGCCAAACCAAATAATGGATTGCTATATTTGAAAACTCTACATTAAACCAAAGAAACATTTCATAGCTTGAATGATGTTAATTAAGAGGATACCAATACCAAAATGATGCATCATTTAAAGATAAGGCAAAACAAGCTAATCTATGAGTCGCTAAGTTGGCATGTCGGAAAACAAAACTAACGGAAGTATTACTCAAAGTTGCAATGTACCTTAAAATTTGATAACATGATAAAGTAAATTATAACCAAAATTGGAATATAACCTCAAATTTTGATTGAAGGATCAAATTAGTTGAACATGATGAGTTCAATTAAAATTATCTTTTGAAGAATAGATTATAATCAGAGAATAAATCTTCCCCCAATCGTATATCTCAGGATACATGTCCCAGTCTTTGTCATCTCCAACTACATATTCAGTTCCATGGGCTTCTTCACTTTGTAAAAGTAAGCAGAGAAGACCAAATATAATGACCAAAGCTCTGCTCTGTGTTCCAACTCTTGTCCCAGACATCTTTGAACCATAAGTGCTACAACAATCTTATCAATTACCAATGTTTAGATATTTTAGATGATATGTTTTTCAAAAGAAGAAAGTTGTGGTATCAGACTCTTTCAATCTGTAAAAATCAATCTACTTAACGCTTGCACTCTATATTTTGGTTCGTAAACTTAAAATTCTAGCTCCACCCCTAATTAAAGACATGTCTACGGGAGGACTTGGCGAAACAACAAGTTGTCCGTCTTGTACAACAACTTCTGTGCTAATCCCCGTAATGCAATTTCCTCTATGTCAACTTGGTTTGAAGAAAATAAATAAATCATCTGGGATGGAGTGTGAGATGGAGAGGAAGCAAGGGGAAGGAGGAAGAAGAAATGGTTAAATTCAAAAAAATAACATACAAAAGATTAATATTGCAACATTTCCTTCCTAGAAACTCTTTATTGCAAAGACAAACTACTGTAACAACAAGCATATATATAGCTAGATGAATCACTCTGCATGAACAGCAATTCTCATTCCATATCCACAGTAATCAATAACATTACAAATAAAGTAGTTTTGACCCTTGTTTAACACCACATGATCGTGCCCAGAGTTGTATAACTTCTTAAGATGGCCTTTTGCACTACAACTTTGGTACCCTTTCGCATCCACAGCCGCCACGCCAAATAATGGGTTGCTATATTTGAAAACTGTACATTAAACCAAAAACAAATGTTAGGCAAATAGTTACAAACATATGAATTATTCTGCACCATGTATTTTTCAGGTAAAACTTTTTTCTTTTGGACAAACTTTTTTCATAACAGTTCTAAACCAAAGAAACAGTACAAGAAATCAGCTACTAGTACATCTTGAATGATATCACGAGAATCCCAAAACCATGAAGATGCATCATTTAAAGATATATTAGGCGAAACGTGCTAATGTATGAGCAGCTAAGTTGGACTCTCTGAAAACAAAACTAACAGAAGTATTACTCAAAGTTGGAATGCACCTTAATGATGAAATAACTTATAACCAAAACTGGAATATCACCTCAAATTTTGATTGAAAGGATCAAGTTAGTTGAACATGATGAGTTCAATTAAAATTTTCTTTGAAGAAAAGATTATAATAAGAGAATAAATCTTACCCAAGACATCTCCAGCCTTGAAGTGCTTGTCTTTCCCCCAGTTGGATACCTCAGGATACAGGTCCCAGCCTTTGTCATCTCCCACTACATATTCAGTTCCATGGTGGGCTTCTTCACTTTGTAAAAGCAAGCAGAGAAGGCCAAATATGATGACCAAAGCTCTGCTCTGTGCTCCAACTCTTATCCCAGACATCTTTGAACCAAAAGTGCTACAATTTCATCAATTACCAACCCATTTCAAAGGGTTGAATTTATAGAGCACAAAAATAAATTAATTATATCCAGAAGAAGAAAAAAAAAAGATTATTGGGTGAATAGGTACATAGCAAGTACATGCATCCAATATATTTATAAAGGAAATGAAATAGTTGCTTTTGGTATACAAAACCCGTATGGATATTGATAAACAAGTTCGATATTATTCTTAACTTGCATTGCACTCAAAGGCAGGTTTGAATAATACCAGATTATGCTAATTACCATAATTACCGCACATATAATTTTGTTAGGCAGGTTGGATTAATACACTAAAGTCTGCCTTGCACCGTAAAGAAGGCAAATTCAAACAAACGTTTTTTTTTTGGGACAATGAATCCCTGAGAATGTGTTGCAAGCAATCAATTAGGCAATTTGTCTCCTAAACTAAACTATATAATATTAATCTGTCAAATCTAAACTCATGTAATGTGTATCTGTCAAATTAATCACTTAACATTTAGGATACAGTTTCCTTTTTTTTCCATTCTAAGCTTGCCACATCATTGAAAAGAATGCTTAAAGAATAGGGTACATTTCTATTTGGCAGACCAAAACCAAAACCAGACATTCTAATTGTTGAAACCAGAAATAAAGCAAAACAAAAACAGCAGACTTATCATGAAACAGCCTGATATGTAGAAAATAAAAGCAAAATTAAGCATATCCAAATAAAATATCTAGCTTTCAAAGAAACCAAAACAATCTTGCTTCATTTCATAGTCTTATCTTGTTCTCTCTCTCTCTCTCTCTCTTCTGAAAATGTCAATGACCACACCGAAAAAATGCCTTACTTATACAAACAAATCCTTCACCTTGACCGGCATTTCAAAAAATTATGCTACTGACTGTCTTCCCAAAAATCCACTGCCACATAATGAAGACTATGCATATGTTATGTAAACAAAGTTTCTTGTTGCTCATGCCACATAATGAAGATTGACAAAACGACTTAAGTCGTACGTCTCACAGGCCTTGTGAAACAAACCTCGTTTTATGGAAATTATGAGCAGAGGAATTTCATAGTTTGGATAAGTTTCATCCACTCATATCCATTTATGGTATGATCTCCCAATAAATTTTACAAGTGAAAAAATGAATAAGATAAGAAAGAAGAAAAATATGAATCAACTCGCAAAAGGTCAGTGAAAACTTAGATTGAAAAAGGCTTAAATATAGACATCTAATGAAACATTCCATCTAACACAAACAGGCCTAAAATTGACGTTTTTAAAAAGCGAACGTACAATACTCGCATTGTACATGTACGTACATATTTCTCGTGTTTAATACACGTATTCTTAACAAACTTTTCAATAAGACACACAAAAAATGTTCATAAAGTGGCCCATTTACCCCGCTTGACCGTGGTTTGGTGACCCACTTTGCCCCCTACTGTCAACTCCGTCCAAAAGTCTATTAATTATGATGACGTGACAGGGGTGTTTTTGTAATTTCAAATTCATTAATATTTAAATATACAATTTATTTTTTAATTATAATTTTCCAATTTTAATAGTTTATTTATTTCTCCTCCTTTTCCTGCAAAACCCTACATTTACATTTCTTCGAAGTATTTCTGAAATCACAACGAAAATTTGTGCTTCTAGTTCGTTGTAATCCAGAGAAGTTGTTTACAATTTGTGCATCAACAAGAGCCTTTTCCCCTTGGGATTTTTTATTTTTGTTTTCCCCGCCAGACAAGGAATGTTCATAAATTACATATGCATCTGGTGTTTACTTAGATTCTGAATTCTTAACTTTTATTGTGTCATGTTTCTTTTCTTTTCCTCCCTTCTTAAGCTCCGGTCCCTTCATGTTCTTCCAACCAACTTTTTCTTCTCGAATAGTCAGAGTATAGCTAGTTTTTAATAGAAAAAATTATCGGAAAATGAAATCAAAAGCAAAAATAAAAAATAAAAAAATGTACATGTTGGGGTTTCATGAATTTATGAGATCAAAAACTTTCTGTAACTGTAAATGTTCAGATGATTAGCTCTACAATGGTGGAGACAAACCTCATAGCTGGAGGAGTTGCATCGCTGGGTTCTCTAGATTTCAGCATTTAAAGACGAGTTTTGGTTTCTAGAGTTCTAAATTTTCCTTGAAAAATTGGACTTTTCTAGCTTAGTTTCACAGAAAATCTTCTGGGTTCTTGTGGTGAAGAAGCTCCAGATACTTACAGAACTGGAGGAATTTTGTGGGTGATTGCGGAAATTTGGGAGTGAGAGAGGTTTGGTTTGGGGATAAGAGATTTAGTTGATGGGAGTGATTAGAATATTAGGAGGTGCATTCAATTAGGATTTTAATAGATTATTTTGAAGCTTAAAAGTTCAGTGGTATTCAATTCAAATTTTTAAGTAATGAATTAAAGTCTGGTGATATTCAATTAATATTTTTAAATGGATTGTTTTGAAGCTTAAAAATCTAGTGGTATTCAATTACGATTTTTAAGTACTAAATACAAGTCTTGTGGTATTGAAAAGCTTATTGATTTTGAAGTATTTCATTAAATGGTGTATTCTATGAGACTTTTGAGTATGTGATATAAATATGTATTCAATTAGGATTTTAATAGATTGTTTTGAAGCTTAAAAGTTCAGTGGTATTCAATTCAGATTTTTAAGTAATGAATTAAAGTCTGGTGGTATTCAATTCAGATTTTTAAATGGATTGTTTTGAAGCTTAAAAATCTAGTGGTATTCAATTACGATTTTTAAGTACTAAATACAAGTCTGGTGGTATTGAAAAGCTTATTGATTTTGAAGTATTTCATTAAATGGTGTATTCTATGAGACTTTTGAGTATGTGATATAAATACCAAGCTCCATAAAAAATCTCATCATTCTATGCTTGATTCTCACTTCTTTCTATTTTTCTATTTTCCTATCTCTTCTCTGTTTTTCTTTTATGTGAGACCTTGCAACCTTTGCGTGGCTGCAACCCGCCAGCAATCCACTGCCAAACCCCGTGAGAACCTTGATTACATTACTTGAATGAAAACAACAATAAGAAATAAGAATAATTATTGAATTACTTTGTGGAGCATAGAGAAAAAAGTGAACCTCCTATGGAAGAAGACGAAGAGGGTGATTTGGGTATCTGAGACAGTTAGGTATCATGCCCACCAAGTGTTCGACTTGAGGTGGTGGCTGAAGCTGTGTGGTGGGTACTTTGGCTTGGACTTGGTTGTTTTTTTTTTCTTCTTTGATTTTGCAAATTTGGGTGTTCCTTAGTTCCATCCTGGATCCATACATTTCCCGGGACAGTCAATTGGTTTGGTCGACTTGGGTGGTCTTGCTGGAACTTTTGTGGTTCTTGGAGTCGACAAGCTAGCTATGCGGATTTGTTTTTCATTGTAGTTGCAGTTTTTTGTTGTATTATTTTGCTTGTGAGAGTTAATGGTAGTTTTGCATTTGCAGTTGAGTGCTCAAGTGATGAGTGGTGTTCTTGCATGTTATGTCTAGGCTCTCAGTATCTTTAACGTATTCATTCTAACCATGTGTTCAAGCTTGTATAGAAATATAAGGAAAATCATATAATTGCAATCTATTAAAATCATAAGTAAAATCATGTAATTGCAATCATGAGTAAAATCATATAATTACAAATCCGGCTGAAATCCATTACATTAAAATCATGTAATTATAATCTATTAAAATCTCAATTGAATACACTCCCTTAGTCAGAAAATGGGAGCAATTTCCCCCACCATCTGGGTTGGTGGTTGTTTAGGCAGGGAGGGGGTGGGCTTGAGGAGGGGCAGTTATGGCTGCCAATAGGGAGTTGGGTAGAGAGAGAGAGAGAGAGATTCTTTTTAGTTCTAAATTTTTTAGTGTTTTATTTTTATTTTAATTAGTTTTAATCATTGGAATATTTAATTATATTTTTACCTATGTGGAGGTGGGCTCCACTTGCCACATCACTCTTAATTGGTGGATAATGATCCATGTATATGAAATTACAAAAACACTCATGCCACGTCATCATAGTTAACAGACTTTTGGACGGAGTTGACAGCATGGGGCAAAGTGGGTCACCAAACCACGGTCAAGAGGGGTAAATGGGCCATTTTAAGTTTGGGGGGGCAATGTGAGATTTGACCGTAGTTTCAAGGGGCTATACTTGTTTTGACACGTGGGTGCCTAATTGCTAGGGAGCCCTCTAGTTTTTATATATAAAAAAAATAGTATACCTGTGTGGCTATGCATAGTGTTTTTTAAATAAATCGTATAGCCGGGTGGCTATACAATGTTTCTTTAAAAATAGTATAGCCGCGCGGCTATACTAAATTTTTTTAAAAATAATATAGCCGCGCAGCGTTACAGGGTTTATATATATATATATATATATATAATAAATAGTATAGCCGATCGGCTATATTCGGTTTTTTGAATGTTTTTTTTTATAAAAATAGGATAGCCGCGCAGCCGTACTTATTTGGACACGTGGCGCCTAATCCGTTACTTTTTTTGGTTAATAAATCGTATAGCCGGTCGGCTATATTCGGTTTTATTAAAGTTTCTTTAAACAGTAGTATAGCCGCGGGGCTATACTGTTTTTTACACATGGGCAACTAGGCGCTATGCTGCAAATCTGTTTTTTGTTTTTCATAAATAGTATAGCCGGTCGGCGATACGCCCCTTTTTCTTTTTCTTTTTTAAATGCGCGGCTGTACCTGGTTTTTTACTTCTTTTTATAAATAAATAGTATATAGTATAGCCGAAGGGCTATACCCGATTTTTTAATTTGTTTTTTTAAAAATAGTATAGCCGCGCAGTTATACGGCTATACTACGAGGACAAGGATGAAATCGAGGATTTCCATTATTAATTTGCTTTGTAAACTTGTTTCGTTGGCAATTGTTTGTTAACCAAAACAGATGCTAATATGTTGCATGCAGCATGCTTATGTATAAAACTAACTCCGTGTCCGTGATGAAACAATATGGCATCAACATGCTTGGGACAGACACAAGTACCATAAAACTAAGGCTAGCTAGCAGATGATGGTTGAATTTTCCGTGGTAAATGGTACTTTCGTAATTTTGTTAACTTTTCCATTATTCATTCACTTTGTAGGAAAAAGAAAGTCGGTGACGAGACGACAATTGTCTGCGAGTTGGGAAAGTAAAATCCATGTCAAGGGTGTCCAAAGATATCATTGGGGTGTAAATAGAATCGCAAACCACTAAACCCTAAACCCTGTTTTCCCTGCAACGGTGGGAGGCTTAAGCCTGTAACTCAATCAAATCTTTTACCCAGATGAAATTTAGGGCTTCACATGGAGTCTGTATATTCCCTCACTCTACACACCTCAATTCCCTCCATAGCCAGCGTCGCTGCTTCGCTTCCTTTCTCAAGAAACTCCATAAAACCACTCAAGCTCGTTCCTTTTCCAATGGCGGAGGTGGTGGTTCTAAAGGTCAGTGTTTCGCTTCCGGCGCTTCATTTCTGTTTGGTTGCCGAGAAAATAATGTAGAGAGAAAGAAAGAAACTTTGTTTAAGTGGAATTGATTCCCCAATTTCTTTTTTCTTTTATGTATCAGATAAATAGGATGTAAAGCATTGGCGTATCTTGAATTAGTTACAAATCGTTGTGATGGAGCATTGGCACTATAAATTTTGAATTTAGTTTCTGTGATTGTTATGAGCTATTTATTTGTTAAAAGTTATCATTAGTTATATTTTTTTCAAGCGTGTGAAGCTAATTACAGGCTGTGTGCAGGTGATTCTTTTCTGTTGCCTGGTGCAACGGTGGCTACATTGCTTATGCTCGGTGCTTTACATGTTCGTCGGATGTATGATGACAGGAAGGTATATGTGGGTGAATTACATTCCACTTTTCGATAAAAAATGTGGGAATAAATAAATAAATGAATGAATGAATGAATGAAATCAGCAGCATATGTGCGTTAACCATGATTGAGACATCCCGGATAATCTGCCGTATAACAAAAAACATCACATGTCAGATGTCAGATGTTTATATAACCTTGAGAAGGTCTTTTGAGTAAAAGGAACAAAATATTCAACCTTTGCCTCAGAATTCGAATGTCTAGTTACATAACTGTTATCACTGTCTGTCCATAGTGGTGAATTCAGTAGATTACATGCTATCTCTATCTTTTTGGTGCATAACACTTGAAATATGCAGTAGAATACTTTCTGTATGCATTTATGTGTATTTGTTATATTGTGTTCTATATTCCAAATTGATCTCAGTTGTTACAACTAGGCATATTCTAGAAGTTGCGATGATTTTTTCATGTCTAAATATTTCCCCCCCACTTGATTGATAGGTCGAGGAGGCACAGGAGAAGGGAACGGAATTTGAGTTTCAACCTGATGTAAAAGTAATGTATCAATAGTAATCGTTGCCTGATGTTTTGTAGTTTCATGCTTTCACTTATAGCTTCTGTGTTTTAGTTGCAAAGTTCGTTGTCCATTTCTGACTTTGACTTGAACTTTATTTACATTGGCAACCGTAGTCTACATTTTTAAGATTGCTGCCTTTGCGCTCCATTTCCAGATGTTGGGGTTTATTGACTAGTGTGGTAAGTGATCTTCCTGTTTCTTGATTCCTCATCTTTAACAAATCTATTTCCTTTTCAAGCTACATGTTCTTTTTACTATTATTGTTTTTTTGGAGAAACAAATTTATATTTGTAGCTCGACTCATAATATTGTCTTAGCTATTTTTTCTTATTGATATGATATCAGATTAAGTTTTGAAATTATTTACCCACTAGACAAAAATGTTTTCAGGAAATCCCAGTCTCTCTACGTCCATATGTTTATGGAGCGTGGGCTCGAGCATTCAATTCAAGTATGATTTTATCTTTTTCATTATTGTTGTCTTCAGACTTTTTTAATGTTTTGCTACAATAGTTAGTCATTTATTAGTTTTGAATAGAATGGTAGAAATTTGTGCATGAAAAAAAATTAAAACTGAATGATATATAATATATTGAAAATATGATATGTTTTGCATTTTAGACTTGGAAGAAGCAGCTTTCCCTCTGGATGAATACGCATCTTTGCGAGAGTTCTTTGTTCGCACCTTGAAAGAAGGTTCCAGGCCAATTCAAGTATGATTTTATCTTTTTCATTATTGTTGTCGTCAGACTTTTTTAATGTTTTGCTACAATAGCTAGTCATTTATTAGTTTTGAATAGAATGGTAGAAATTTGTGCATGAAAAAAAGTTAAAACTGAATGATATATAATATATTGAAAATATGATATGTTTTGCA